TATCCCCTCTGTAAGCAGAGAATATCTTTATAGTCTCCTTTTGCATGCGACAGCAACCCGCAGATGAAAGGTGTGTGGTCAGTACTGCAGGTGGGATGTAGTACAGAAAGAAAACTCCACATCCATTGTCAGCCTTTCATCACATTAACTTCCCAGGAGCTTCCAGCACTCCACTCAACACCTTCTTCACCCAACAGTTCCCAGCACCCCTTTGCCAGGTTGGAGCTGCTCCTGGAGGAACTGGGCATCTCCAAAGCCATCCACTGGCTCAAATCGCTGGAGCCACACGATTGCTGCCATCAACCAGGACAGAAATTACCATAATCTGGAACAAACAACTCCAAAAGCAATCTGTAAGCAAGCTCTATCTGCTGAGTGCCTTGTTGAGAGGATCAAAACGGAGCCTTTTCACCCACAGCCTGCAGACCACGGGCAGTCCACGGAGCAGATTTGCAAGGAGGAAGGAATAAGAGCAATTTTAAAGCAGCGGAGACATGCTGGCAAGTAATTTGCCAGGAGAAATCAAAGGGGAAAGTCAGCGAGTCATCTTTTTGTTGTGGATTTTTTTTTTCCCTTCTCACCCAGCTGGCTGTAAGAGGAGTCATTATTCCCTGCAACAGCAGCCACGCACACCTCTTGTCAGGCAGCTTGCTTGCACAGGGCTTGGAGCCCTTGGAAAAGCTGAAGATCCTCAAATACAACTATTAACACCACAGCACCACGTTCACCACCATAGAATGTCCCTAAATGTCACATCCATGTTTTTTGAACACTTTCAGGGATGGTGATTCCACTATTTCCCTGGGCAGCATGGTCCAACGCCTGACCATTATTATGGCAAAGAATTTTGTTTGTTGACGTCTTGCTGGGAATTTATGGTCTCCCCACAAACTTTCCTGCATTTCCTGCATGTCCCCCACTTCTCCCTCCACAAAGCTTTGAGGCATTTGTCCTCTTCCCAATGTTTTTGGCCTCAAAGCACCAGATCCTGCTCAACCGTGTGGGGCCCAGATTTTTGTGTGGAGCTGGCAAAAAAGAACACTCTTTCCATTGAAAATGTACACTTGTTCCCTCAACACCCTTATTATTAATTGCTACAAAACTTAATTTTATTCATCGTTTGTTATGCATCCAAATTGGATGGGGAAAAAAATTCAAATTAACTGAAGTGAAAAGATTTCAGAAGATGGTACAGAAGGCTCCTGAAGGAACTGAAGAAAACTCTCCGGAGACTGGGAACACAGTGCTAACCCAACCTGAAAGAAAGATCTTAAGACAAAGAAATCTTGCCAATTTGATCCTTTAATTATAACATTAGTCGTTTCTTTCAAAGGCTTAGTGTAAGAGCTGGGGGTGGGGGGCAGAAAAGACTTAAAGGGAGAAAAGACTTAACATCACCAGGATGAGTGGAAGCAATTAGGAGGATTTAAATTACTCTCTTGTTTGGTACAAGGCAGATAGATTTCATTTTTCTTGCCATCGTGCTCGACTTCTTGCTCTGCCATTAGCTCCCAGAGGCCTTCTCCTTGGTTGGCCTGAGGGCCCAGTCTTCCCAGGTCAGGCAGCATCTCCTTCCACTCTGCACCCACTCTGCTATTTCTGCAGGCCAGGAATACATACCAGTGACTATAACAGCCCTGACACCCTGGAAAGGGGCTGGATGCACAAGGCTGGATACGGGGATGGAGTCTCCCAGCTCTCAGCAGAGGGATGATGCTGCAGTGAATGGAGGAGGGTGATTGCAAATCGAATTTTTTCTGCAGAGGCTGTGGAAAGGGAGGTGGGAAAGAGTCAAAATGCAGCCTGTTTGGTACTGAAGCTCTGTAGGAGTCCTCAGGCTGTGGCCACTGCTGGGGTGGCACTAAAACCACTGGTACATGCCACCAGCAGCAGTGACAGGGCAGCGTGGCTCTCGTCAGGTCTCTGCTGCTCTGGAGACAGAGCCCAAACACACACACGTTCAAAATGTTTTACGTGAGAAACAGATGAGGAGAAAAAAAACCTCAAAACTCAACAATTTCACAAAAAAAAGGGAGAGCAGATCTTTGCAAATCTCCAGCACGTGCAATTCCTCAGGCCACAAGGCAGCCTCAGGTAGAAAATGGCATTTGGGTGGATGCTCCATCCTCAACACGCTGCATCCTCACTTGCTCCCACCGACTCTCTCTTGCCAGGATTGTCTCAGGAGCTCGTGCAGCTTTAAAAGCTGAGCAGTCACATCTCCTTGGGCTCCGTACCTGCTCCCAAAGAGGAACGGGGCCAATTTTTTTATCTCTTCCTGCTTTCAGTCAGAATTAATTGATCCGTAATTGCACCCATAGAGGGGGGAAGTTAATAGACACGGTAATAAATGCCAAAGCCACAGCAGAACTGGCTCTCCAAGACCCTGCCTGGAGGAGCTCCATCTCCTCTTAATAGAGTCTGCATGAGATTCCAGTGCGTGCCTGTTCGTATTTAGGGAGAAAAACTGAGGAGCCTGCCTATGATGAAAATCATTTCTTTTCCTCTCCCACATATTTTGTGCTTAAGGAGCAGATGGATCCAGGCTGTTTACATCACAGAGGTCATGCCTCAGCTTAACAGTTGGGGAACTGACTGTTGGGAGAGATGCTCATCGCAACCAGGAGACTGCTAAATCTGGGCTCCGGCAAACTTCTGCTGGTGGCAAGTGAGACACACACAAATGTCCTCCTGCAGCCTCTTCTCACTGGGGACCCACCCCGGCTGCTGGGCTGTTTCACCAAAGGGAGCCTCTGCTGAGATGAGGAGAGGGCAGAGGCAGCTCAGCAGCAGCTCCTGAGCGTGCACCACGAGGGGAATGCTGGAAATCCCGAGTGGACCTTGTTATCCACCGATGCAGATGGCGCAGTTTGCGAGCTACGTGGGGCCAGGTTCCTGCAAGGAGGCTCCCAGTGGCCATGATTTCAGCTGAGCACGGCCTGGCTTCCCCAAAAGCACTGGTGTAACTGCCAGGGAAAGAATTCCTTCAGTGGAGGTGTTTCCATGGCGCTCATTCCCAAAGTGACCGTCCCTTCTCAGTTCAGCACAGCCACGCGACAAATTGGGGTATGTGGCCAGGCCCTGCCTGTTCATTCAGCTGAGAGCTGGGCAATGGAAAGGTCACACCTCCCATCCCCCAGCAGAGCCAAGTACTCTCTTCCAGCACAAGAGGAGCGCTAAAAACAAGAAGAGCTCAGCAAACAGAGCAAGGAGGGAGGCATTTCCTGCTGAGCTCAAGGACACACATTATTTGTGTGCACAAGTACCTTCTCCTGCCCCTAGCTCCTACTCCTCCACGGCTCCAGCAGCACCTTTGGATGATCCACCCAGCCAAGGTGCTGCATCCACTGAGCCACAGAGGATGTGGCCGTGCCCAGGCAGGGGGACACGCTCGGTGGCCTTGCCATGGAGTGGCAGAGCCCAGCTGGCCACCTGAGCTCACCTCACTCAGCCCTCCGGGGAGCTGAGCAGTCCTGCTTTACCCTGGATATCTGCCACGCCACAAGAGCATCTCTGTTGCCAATTAGGCCACCCACCCACTATTAGCAATAAACAAACAGTGGAAATGCCAGCCGGTGCCTGGGAAGAGTCCTAGACAAGAGTATCCAGCTCAGCAGGCATGGGAACAGCTGCCTTGGGCAGCCCTGCTGCAGGGAAGCACCAAGGTGGGCCAGGGCATGGCCAGGCGTTCCACCAGCCCCACTGTGGTCCTCTGGCCATGTCTGGCTTGTGTCCCCAAGCTGCTTTCAGCATCACCCCAGAACCAAAAGCCACACAACACACTACACTGATACAGCTTAACGTTGTAATAACGTTGTTCCCAGCTTCCTAGCTTTCCTTCTCCAGGCTTTTGTTGGAAAGCTCCTGCTTGACATTGAGACCCAGCTGGACTTTGCCCAAATGCCCAAGCTGGATGTGGCATAAGAAGTACAAATTCCACCCAAGGCTGCTTGGATATCTTCATCCCCCATAAGAACTCCCTCGCTGCAAGGCAAAGCGAAGCCCTCCCTGAAGCCTGTCCCCAGAGCCCCTGGACTCAGTCAGACCCCAGAATGAGAGCTGGGAAAATTCAGCCCAATAACAGACCCAACCTGCCACTCGAGAAACTGCTGAAATCATCACCATCACACTTGAACTTCCAGAGACACTCAGGAGAGGGACAGAGATGACCAAGGCCATTCTCCACCCTGACCCTTGCACCTAAGGGCTTTCCATCTGGCCAAACCAGCGCTACAACGATTTTTGCATTTTGTCATGATGCATAATTAGCTAAAAAATGACCTGCTTCAGTCAGAACAGAGGAGCCCACATCTTCCCCAGTGCAGGAGAGGGCACGCTCTCGCTGTTCACCAGCCCCTGCCAGCAACTGAGGATGTGCTGGTGCAACCACAGTTCATTGTCATGGAGACAAGAAGAGTTTTTGTCTCCAAACCCAGCTTAATGGCTTGGATTAAAACTGCCTTCCCCTTGGGAAGTGTAGGACAGGGACAGTTGCTTTGTCCCTACTTCCTTCTCTTCTGGGCTCGTCCACGTGCACCCCAAGCACCCCTGTGCTCACCAGCCTGCACCCCACCAGTGCAGGGCACATCCTCCTGGTCACAGCACAGAGGTGCTCTCTGTCACTCCCCAAACCCATCCCAACCCAGGCACACCCCCCCACAAACAGCCTGGACTCAAACACTTTTTCACAGACCCCCCTCCCGACCATGTCTCTCCCCTCTCACAGGAGCCAAGCAGCCCAAAGATCCCCAGTGACCATTTCTCACAAGGGAACCAAAAGCAGGAGATCTTCAGCAAGGTGAAATGACAGTAATAATAAATATCTTCAAGGCTGTCCTTTTCCCAGCTCCCCAGGTTGAGAAAGAACCAAGCCCAGCCAGGGAGCAAGCCCTTGCTGTGGGCAGGCAGGTAGGGAGGGGATGGAGGGACACAGGGGACCAGCTTTAGGTACCAGAAATGTGTGACAGGCACAGCCTGGAGGGAATGACCACCCTGCTTACCCTGACAGCACTCCCAGGACAAGGTTGAGGACGAAGAAGGATCCAATGATGATGAGGGGGATGAAGTACAGCCAGTTCCAGGTGGCTCCTAAGGCATCATTGGTCTGGAGAGGAAAGAAAAAAACACGTGTGACATCACCTGCAACGCCAGCGAGGGAGGGTGTGTTAACTCCAGGTTAACTTCAGCACTCCAGGCTGACCACACCAGGCTCCTCAGGGGGACGAGGCCATGCCTGCCAAGCCTTGGTGGGCACCCTTCCCCACCACAAGAGTCCTGGCACCCCTCAGCACCAGCCATAGTCTCCAGACTCCAGCCCTCATCAGGCAGGACCACTCTCCAACCATCCCTGCAGAGACTGTAAGAGACGGGTGTAGCTGGAGGTGCAGGGTCCTGCAGCCCAAAACTGGGGTGCTGAGGGCAGGGGGTCACCCTGAGCATGTTTTCCCCAGCATTTTGGTTCAGGGCTGCCATGCACATCCACTAGGATGGGGCAAAGCAGCCCCATGGCAGCAGGGCCTGCTGAGCAGAGAAGTATAGGGTGCTTTAAGACCAGGGAAGGTGGCATCTAAAGAAGAGGCAGCCAGTGATTGTCCCTTCACGCCTGGTGGGAAACCTCCAAACAGGCATTTTACTGCTGGCATCATCACTAACACCTTGCAGACATCCTCCCACCACAGGCACATCCCCCAAAGCCACAGAGCTGAGATCAGACTGGAGCTATGAGCGCAGGGCACAGCCCGACAGCTGCAAAGGCTCCTGATGAGCCCTGCTCAATACCTCCAGACATTAATTCACCAGAGGTTTTAATAAAAGTACCCCTCTGTCCCTCCCAGGCCCCATTTGTCCTCTGGTGTCAGGCACGGTGCGCATGACGCCGGGATGAGGGTGATGCTGCAGAACGTGACTGTCTGGGGGAGGTGGTATCAATCTTCTTGCAATGAAAGACTCTTTCTCTTTTCTCTCTCTTCCCCCCTCTCCCCGTGCTAATTAAGCCCTCATCTTCATCTGAGTCATTGGCACCACATCTCCTGCTCGGCCAGTGCAGGAGCTGAGGCGAGGCTCTGCCACGGGAGAAGCGCCATTCCCGGGAGCAGAGGAAGTCACCGTGTGTGCTGGAGTCTTCCTCCAGGGGGACTTCAGCTGGGTGTGCCCACCACCCTGGCACCGAGCCCAGGGCAGGGAGGGTGACACCAGCACAGCCCAGCACAGGCACTGACCACAGCACTGGCACAGAGGATGTGGGCAAGTGTGCGACAAGCAGCACCTGGCACGCAGCAGCCATAAGGGCTCTGAAACCATCTGGAAGGACTCACTGCTCTCCTTCTTCGGTCCTAAGGAAACCACACATATCCTCTCAAGATCCCGCTCTTTCAAGAGCCCCAGTTCACCTCCAGCCCCTTTCTTTAGGGCCACGGGAGCAGCAAGCACAGGGAGGAAGGAATGATGCACGGGAATTCCCGACAGCCAATGTTCACCGCCAGGCCACTGTGCTCTGCTCTGGCAGCACCATCTCCCATGGCATCACTCTTCAAGGCATTGTGCAACCCTCAGCCCAAGCTTGGCAGGGCTTCAGCTCCCTGCCAAGATGCCACTGGGTACCTGCCACTCATGTCAGGATTGCTTGCCTTTGAAACTGGCTCCTGCCCAAAAAACACAGGCTTTCCCCGAGGTCCTTGTCACAGGGAATACAAAACAGAGGAGCTTCTTTCCTACAGAAGACCAAGGCATCTTCCCCCAGAACTGGGCTATCACCATCCCTTCTTTAGCCATCTCAGCAGGAGAGGAGGGGAAATAAGCAGCTTTCCCAGGGTTATCAGTGCCCAGACCACCTCTTCCCTTTCCATTTTTCAGGCACAGCAAAGCTGGTGGCACTGGGGACCTGCAGCAGGGACAGCTGAGGCAGGGGCTTGGCAGGGCTCCATGGCATGGGCTAACTGTGATCCCAGCCTCTGTGCATTTGAGTTTCTGGCTCCCCTGGGGGTGGAGGCAAAGGGGGCAGGAGAGATTTTTAAGGGGATTTGGGAGGTCACAACATCACTCTCACCCAGCAGCTGCAGGAGGGGCAGAGGAGGAGATGGGGAGTGTGGCCATGGACCCCCATACTCAAGGACACAGAATTGGCCACAGTGAGCTCAGGGATGGTCCCAACCACCCAGGCTGCCACCAGCAGCCCCAGGGACAGCACTGTCACCAGCAGCCACATGGGTCCCCCTGGCTGGTGCCAGCTTTGCTGGCATCCCCCAGCCCCAACATGAAATTTCTCAGGGGGCATCCCAATGCTCCCTACAAACCCAGGAATGGGTGATGCCCAGTCTGGATGCAGTGACTCCAGACCATCATCTGGTACTTGCTCAGCCACTCAGGTGCCAAAAACTCACTATCCCCACTGGAAGCCTCCTCAAGCAGACGCTCCAGTGGCTGCTGTAATCTCCAGCCTAAATTTATTTGTGGTCATTTTCTATGCCACTCCGTTATTTTGCCAGCAGTGGCCTTTGGCTGAAATAGCTCTTTTCCTTCCTCTTTCCAGCCTGATCTATTTCTAGACAGCAATCACAGCCATCTCCAGCCTCTGCTTTGCTGGCCAAAGCAAGGTTCTTCCAGTTCTCTCTTGCCCAGCTGGCTCTCCTGCCCTGTTTTATCCAGTAGCCCCTTCCCTGCTCCAGTCCAGGCTCTGTTCATCCCTCCTGGACACAGGAGACCTGAGTGAGCAATTTGATAGGTCACACTCCACCCCTGCATGATGCCATAGAGACTTTACCACCTGACCTGCATCCCACCATCCTCCCTCCTCCTTCGTGCCACCCCTGCCCTGCAGCGTGGTCACCCCGATGTCACTCGTTCACCCTCTCCTCCTCCATGTCACTGCTTCCCAGCCAACAAGACCTGAGCTCCAAGGAGAGATCTTTGCTGCTCCTTAACAAGAGTTTGGCTTTCCATTCCTCACTGCATCCAACATCTCAAATGCCTCCCAGCCCAGGATGGCAGCCTCTGTCCCTCCAGCTCTGGGAAGCCAGTGGATGCTGGAGGACGCATCCCCAAGGACTCCATGAGTCAATGACATCCCCGTTGTCCCCTCAACACCATCCCAGCACTGCTCACTTCCCGACCAGCCTCACAGAGCTCCTCATCAGGGCATTATTTCTTGTTGGAACTCAGATGTTTATCAGTTCTTATCTCTGTTACAGCCCCACAAACCCTGAGTTCTACAGCACTTCACTCTAACAAACTAAAAATGGAGCTATGCCTCTCTCTCTCTACAAGGCCTTTTAAGGATAAGCTGTCCAATTAAGAAATGACACCTGAATTATTTTTTACTTTTAACCCAATAACCAAACACCGGTGCCTGCAATGGGGACTTTTTTATCTAATTACAAAACCACCCAAATCCATGGAGAGGAAGGTGAACAAGAAGGACCAGCATCCACCCCAGAACCTCCATTTTGCTTTATATATATTACTATATTCTAAAACCATAAACTCTAGGTTTTCCACCATGTGATACTACACACTTCTATTTAAACTACACATCTATAATCTTAGTTCTACCATTCAATTTTGGAAGCCTTCTCCATGGCCTCAGGTCAAACGCAGTGTTCTCTTGGGGGTCAGCGCCTGTTGGCACATAAGATCTGAAATTCTCACTAACCAGGGCTCCAACACATCCCCTTCCCCTCTTCCCCTCCCCATTACCCCTCTCCCACAGCAAACTCTTTACTACAAGGAGCAGCTCTAGGACGTTTCCAGGCCTGTGATGCCAGGTTAGCCCGGCGTGACCTACCTTTGACAAACTCATGATTCCCTTTCCTCTCCTGCCTCCCAAATCTGTTCTGAAATGGCATTCAATCGAGGTCAGCCTCGCAGTCCTATTCCTGCCTGCCTTACTTTTCCTCCCCTCCTCCCCCCGCTTTTAAATATAGGCACCACATTCGCTATGCTCCAGTCAGATGGTGCCTCCCCCAACTCGATGGAGCTGTTAAAAATACTTGTTACCAGACCTGCCATTTCATGTGCCAGCTCCCTCCGAGCTCGGGGGGAAGCCATCCCAAGCACCCAGGCTGGTGGGCACGGTGGTCCCAGCGTTGGGCTTCCACGGTTTCCACCTTGGCCGTGCCCTGGTTGCCGGTATCGCGCCTCTCGTTGCTTTGTGTTGACGAAAAGCGGGGCTGAAATGTCCGTCCATGCCCAAATCTCTCCAGATGTCATTCCACTGGGCCTTGCTTCCATCTGCAGAGGTGGGGAACCGCTCACTGCTCCTCCAGGAGGTCGGTGTCAACACAACTTTGCAACGGCCCTCATAGCACTTCCCCAGCTTTTTTGGCACCAAGATGTTGTTTTGACTGAGCAGCCTCTTCTCCCATTCCTTTGGGGCATCATTTGCTCTTGATATCCGTTGTAGGCAGTAGTTCATCATCTTGGTCTACTGTGCCTTCCCACAGGGTTTTTTTTCCCCCTTCGTTGAAGGTTGTTGCTTGCAGAATTCAGGGTAGACACAGGAATTTTAATCCCTAAATTACACCAACTCCTTTAATGAAGAAATTCCAGCTTCCTGTCGTGCTCCCTGCACAGCTGAGCAGGTCCCATCACCCACCCAAGAGCTTTGGGACAGGCTTTTTATATTCCTTTGGGAAATGGAGGAGCTGCTTGGTGCCAAATCTTTGCTGCTTCTTCCCTTCCTTTTGAGAGGCCTCCTTCTCATTATACACCCCACCACCCTCCAAACTCTTCTGTGGCCACCAGATCAAGAACCACCACACTCACATCTTGACATGACCCATCCTGCTGCCAGGAAAGACCTCTGAGCCCATAAATGACACCAGCAAGGCGTGGGAGCAGGACCCTCCTGCAGGGAACAGCCCCCACCAGCTCCTGCTTCTCAACCCCCAAGCACGAGGTTATTCTTCAGGCAGCTCTTGGGGTGTTTGTTTGGTTTTTTTGGGTTTTTCTTTTTTTTCCCCCCCAAAGGGGAGGAAAAGGTGCAGGAAGCTGCAAAAGCAGGTCTCACTCGGGGGGCCAGAAATCTAAAGAAATCTAAATATATCCTCAAGTTGAATGCACAGCACAAGCTCACAGCCCACACGTCCCCTCCCTCGGGCTGCGGCGCAT